ACACCCTTCTGGCTCATATTTAAGGGATCATCCACTAGGACTTCAACATCTCTCTCACAATTACTGCTATTGAGCCAGGTTTTACCTAATCTGTACCTGTCCATTTGGTTTCTCTTGCCTAAGCGTAAAACCTTAAACGTACAAATAAGGTGAAGATGTGCTTATTTTTGTAGTATCCCTGGAATTACACAGAAGCAGTTTCAGAGTTTGCAAAATGGGTGTTTGTTTTCTTTGCCTTTTAGCATTCTAAATTTTGCTTTGACTGTTGAATTTTATTATATAAATTTCTTGTCCTTCCAAACTACCTCAAATTCAACAGGAGAAAATTTATATAGCTCAGGGTTGAATTGTGGAGTTCTTGGAGTTCTCTGAGCTTAGTTGTTTGCTTGCAGACATTTCGTTACTAGAGTAGGTAGCATCATCAGTTTGTGTGTGTGTGTGAGAGAGAGAGAGACGTTTGCTTCCTGTTTATTATATACAGAAGCTTGTCCTGCCAGGATTGGAGGGGTTTGGTTTTCTCCTTGATAAAGACTTGTTTTCCGCTTAATTGTTTGTCTGCTGTTATTTGTCTGGTAATCTCCATTTCTGCACACTGCTTATTTAGATAAACCTCGTCGTCGTCATCTTGTTTTCCTGGCATCTAATTAAACAAATGTTTTTTCTCCTTTTCTTTAACTATTTTCAGTAGGCAAACATTTCCCCTTCTTTTGCTTTTCTACATTGTTTATTCATTTGCGCAACTGTAGGTCACCTCAATTACAAAGTCACTTCATTTCAACCCAGAGTTTTTCAGGTATGAAGAAATGTAGTTCTTCAAATTTGTTCTCTGCCTTGGCAACATACTTATATAAAATATTATTCAGATCACACCTCACTGGCCTTCTTTCTTTAGTTGAAGGTGGAACTTTGCAAGAAGACCTCGATGGCTAGAGCTACAATCAGGACAGATCTTATTTTGGCAGACTGGCTACTTCTGCCAGTCCAAATTCAAGGTCCCTGGGACGATCTCTACCTATCGTTTTCTTTGTTGGAAAAAGGTATTTCTACAAATGCTGCCTGATTTATCTGTTGTCATCTTTGCTTGATAGGGCCGTGGTGGCGCAGTGGTTATAATGCAGTACTGTAGGCTACTTCTGCTGACTGCCGATTGCCAGCAGTTCAATTCTCACCAGGCTCAAGGTTGACTCAGACTTCCATCCTTCCACTGTCGGTAAAACGAGGACCCAGATCATTGGGGGCAATAAGATGACTCTGTAAATTGCTTAGAGGGCTAGAAAGCTTTATGAAACGGTATATAAGTCTTTGCTATTGCTATAGGGCAAAGGCCAATTTTTCCAGATCCAGTTTTTCTTCCAACTTTAGCCTAACTTTACTTTACTTTACTTTATTTGATTTATATACCGCCCTACTCCCGAAGGACTCAGGGCAGTGAACAGCCAAACAGTAAAAATACATAGATACAAAATTTAAAAACAAAATAAAATCGAATTAAACAATTTGGCCCAGACAGATTAAAACACCCCAATCATTTAAAAACCGATTAAAATTTGCATAATTAAAAAGAGGGAAAGGATTAGGCCAGGCCCGCCTGGTGGAATAAAAAGGTCTTAAGAGCGTGGCGGAAGGTGCGCAGATCCGGGATCCTCCGTATCTCCGGGGGGAGCTTGTTCCAGATAGCCTAAGAGGAAATGTCACCTGGTTTTGGTGCAAGTCACAACAGAATGAATGAAGCTGCTTGGATGAGCAGTGAAACGTCTCAGGCTATCAAAAAAAAAAAAAAAAAAAAGTTAGTCCAGTTGCCATGATTCAACCTTGAGACACCTCTGCCTGGATGGTTGAGAGTCTTCATTGACATGTCATCAGAGAATGGTTCAGGATCAGCTCACTCAGCAATTGCAGTCAAAGCTTGGATTTATCTTGCCAGTTATTAGGGGCATGCATAAGAACACCAGCGTGTCTACCCTCTCTGTCCTAATGTTTCCTCTATTCGTATCTACTTTATGTATTCAATTCATGCTTATACTTATATATATATTACCTAATACGTTATTGACAAATAAAATAAAATAAATAAAATAGTTAAAATCCTCCCAAGCACAATTTTAACAGGCTTTTTTAATTATGAAGATGATAATGATATTTTTCAGAACAATACATGCGAAAGACTTATTAAAGAAGGGAGCGTAAGTCCCCTATGGCAGGGGTCTCCAACCTTGGCAACTTTAAGCCTGGCAGACTTCAACTCCTGCCAGGCTTAAAGTTGCCAAGGTTGGAGACCCCTGCCCTACGGAACCTTTCTTTCTAAACTTCCATTTCTAGCTGCAGCACCGGAGACCTTCGAAGAGTAGCGGCAAACACATTTTCAGGCGGAGCAGCAGTCCTAGCATGTTGGCAGCTCAGCGTCTCTCAAGCCCTGCGTGCCGAACGAGACACGATGTTCTTCCATTGACGCCCAGGCAGATTAAAGGAGGCTCAGACGTTGCTGCATGGAAGCAATTTGGAGAGAGCCTCCATTTGGCACAGCTCCCCTCTTGCTCCCCTCTCTTCTCCTGACTCCCCTCTCCGGAGGGAAGGAGAACAAGCTGGGTCGCCTCAACCAATTAATTGGTGCTAATTAATTCAAGCAATAATCTCTGGCTGACTGCAAAAGAAGGGAGCAGGAAGAGGAGGAGGAGGAGGAGAGGGTTAGAATTGTGCACACAAAAAGCCAAACTGCCAGTGGCAACCAAACTTTCTTCAAGATATATTGGAGGGGCTGGGGAGAAGGGTGTGTGTGTGTGTGTGTGTGTGCGGGGGAGGGGGGGAGGCCAAAGGCATCGGAGTCCGCCAGGACCTGGAGCGCTCCTGAATCAGAGGATCTTGTGGGCAGAATGAGAATTAAAGGACTTCTTCGTCCATCATGCAAGGGAGGGAAAGAGGTATTTCTTGTAGTAATATCACTTGTTGCCTAGCTACAGAAATAACTGTTGGTTTTCTCTGCTGATTTCCATGGGCATCCTTCACTTTTGCCCAGTGGAGAGAGGAGAGAAATAAAACAATGCAAATCTAAGGTTTCACCGCTCTGTGACTTGCCCCTTGATTTCTCTGGGTGGACATGGTCCCCTTGGGGACACGGGGTGGCTGGGTAGAAGGTATTCCTGACAGAAAACCAACTGTATGGAAAGTAAGGTATGAAGTACTGTAAAATCTGACCCCCAAACTAATTTTAAAGTTTAGGGCTGCAAAATGTAACTGAAGTTTGTTTCCATATATATTTTATTTAAAGTAAGCAAAAAAAAAATCTTATCCTTCTAACATTGTATTCTCAGTGCTCCTTTGTGACCAGAAGCATCAGGGAACACAGGTGGTCCTTGAAATTACAACGGCACTGAAAAAAGTGACTTATGATCATTTTTCACACTTATAACCAGTGGTGAAATCTAAAATTTGTTACTACCGGTGCTGTGGGCGTGGCTTGGTACGGGGGTGAGTGGGTGGGTGGGTAATGTGACTGGGTGGGCATGGCCATTTTTTTTTAACTTTTAAAACCATTTTTTCTACAACTTCTTCGGCGAAGAGGTTGTAAAAAATGCTTTCAAAAGGCTCTGACAATCCCAGCTGAGTTGCCTGATCATCAGAGGCTTTTTTTTTTTTACTTTTAAAAGCAATTTTTCGGCCAAACAGGTTGTGGAAAAAATGCTTTTAAAAGTAAAAAAGAAAAGCCTCTGATGATTGTGTGGCTCAGCTGGGCATGGGGGGGGCAGGGATTTTTGATACCGGTTCTCTGAACCACCTGCCTCCATCGCTACCTGATCGGTTGATCCGGTCCGAACCAGGAGCATTCACCCCTGCTTATGACCATTGCAGCATCCCCGGATACACATGATCAAAATTCATACACTTGGCAACTGACTCATATTTATGACGGTCACAGTGTCCCCTTTTGTGACCTTCTGACAAGCAAAGTCAATGGGGAAGCCAGATTCACTTAACAACCGTGTTACTCATTTAACAACTGCAATGATTTGTTTAACAACTGTGGTGAGAAAAATGGTGCAAAACTCACTTAACAAATGCCTCACTTAGTAACATAAATGTTGGGCTCAGTTGTGGTTGTAAGTAGAGGATTAATCTGTGCAGAAGAACATGGAAAGTCACATGCTGGAATTTTTTGCAGAAGATTCTGCCAATCCAATTTTCCTTCTACCTTGCAGAGTACTAGCTGGAGCCCCCTCGCCCTCGCCCACCCCTCCCCGGCCACAGTGGCTCTTGGGGCTTTCCAAGGCAAGGGGCTCCTTCTTGGCCGCCGTCAAATTGAGGCTTCCGCCCCGCTTAAGCTCCGCACACCGGCCCGGCTCCTCGCCAGGCCCCGGTGGGCTCTCTCGCTGGAAGGGCTGGGCGGGGTGAGGCGGTTCTGCCAGGCGGCCATGCGGGAGAAGGACCCCGGCTGCTCTGGCCCAAAGGCCGGGCAGGCTCTCCGTCTGGGAGCCCGATGCAGGGCGGCTCCTCGGGCCTTGGCACCTGCCTGGCGGCGCCGGCCGTCTCTCCGCCGCTCCCTGAAGCCAGCGCTGGACCCCGGAGCCCCCCTCCCTCGGCCTTACCCGGATTCCGCCCCCTGCTACGCCGAGCCCCGCGGAGAGCGCGGCGGCCGGGACCTCCGCTCGGGAAGGAGGGAGCTTCTCCCGGCCAGAGGATGCCGCCGCCGCCGCCGCCTGGCAGCCCGACAGCCCTGGGCACGGAGGCGGCGGCGGGGGCGGCGGCACCACGTGCGGCCCTGGAGGCTGCCCGCCCGGACTCTGGCATTCCGCGCCGCCGGCCGGCGCAGAGACCCACCCAAGGCGGCGGCAGGAGGCGGCGCTGGCGCCTGCGGAGCGCTGGGCGCGGAGGGCGCCGCCTTCCCCGCCCCGTTGGGCAGCCGAGGGCCGGCCACGCTCCCCGCGGGGGCTCAGCGGCAGTGCCAGTCCCGCGCGCGGCTCCTGGGGCGCAGGGAGGAGGGCGCGACCGGGACGGGGCGGGGGGAGCCTGGGCTCGCTCAGCCGCTGACGCCGATTCCTCCGCAGGGAAGCGCCGGCCGCCGCTGCCCGGCCATTCCTTCTGGGCGAGCTCGGAACCCGGAGGAAGGAGCCCGGCTTCCCCCGCCCGCTTCGCCGAGAGAACTTTCTGCATGACGGTCTCCAAGGTAAGAGCCGCGGGAGCCGCAGGGCTTGGCGGGTGGGAGCGGCCGGCTCCCCCGGGTCCCGCCTCGGGTGGGTGGCCGGTGCTTTGTCACGGATGCTCCGCTTGGCGAGGCGGCGGCTGAGGAGCTTTCGCAACGCCCGCCGAGCCGCCCATCCCCTCCGCGCCGGCTGAGAAAGAAGCCCCGTTGCCCTTTCAGCACCCCGATGCGGGAGCTCTGCGGCAGTTTTAAGCCTTGGAGAGGTGGGCAGGCCGGGCCCGGGCGCTCCTGCTCTGGCCTGGAGCAGGGACCTGTCCGCTGCCTGCCGAAGCGCCGGTCTCTGCAACGCCCCTGGCAGATCAGGCGAGCCCCGGGCCTCTCCCGCATGTCGCTATGGCCGCAGCCCTCCCTCCCGCGGGCGCCTGCCCCGCTTTGAGCCGGCACCTCCGGCAGCCCCGGCCCTCTACAGGTGGTGGAGGCGGAGGAACGGAGCTTTGCCGGGGGGGAGGGGGGAGTCCGGCCGGCAGGGTAGAGGCTCCCCCAGGCCGGACCCTCCAAGCTTCTGCCCGGGAGCCCAGCAGCTGTTGTGGCCGCCTGCACCTCAAGCCCCCCCCCGCCCGCAATTGGCCTGGGAAGCGCCTTTTGCTCTCCTGATAGCAGGGTGGAAGGAAGGGGACCCACTCCCGAAGCTGGAAGGAGCCGGGAGGCCTTTGGAAGGAGAGCCCAGGAGAGCGCTGGGAACCCCGCATGCAGAGAAAGGCCCCATTTTTCTTGAATTTGGGAGCAGGCCCCATTTCTTCGCAGGTATGGGTTACCTGCCCTCTTCACTTCTCTTCTCCCTGGGGCTACTTTTTGCTGTGACAGAAAAGCGTTTAGCCTGGTCCTTGTTCTTGCCGGAGACACAGCCTTCTTCCCCACTTAGGCACTCCTTGGCAGGGACTTTTGCTCTGATGCTGTCCCTAACCTCTAAGAGGAGCCTCCACTGGCAGAACTCTGCCTCCCCTTCAGAGCAGATGTGATTTATGCTGGTCCTACTGAGCGGAGGCTAGAAAGAAATAGAAAGAAATAGCTTTGCATCATCTTCATTGTGGGGCTGCAGAGTATTTCTGTATTTGATGACAGTCAGGATCACTCCTGCAATGTGGTGTCAAGCAACATTTGAAGCCATTAATTCCCCCCCCCCCCCAGATTTATAGTATATACTAGCATGTATTTTAATGTTTGCTGATAGGAGTTTAAAATAATAATAATAATAATAATAATAATAATAATAATAATAATAATAATACTTATATCATGTGACAGTACCTTTAACACCCTCAAACAATATCTGGCTATTCCAGGTCCTAGGGAAGGACTCAGTGGGTGGATAAAAATGCCAAATCCAGTCTAAACATATGGCTGATTGCTCGACCAACAATAATAACAATTTATTAAACTTGTATGTTGTCTGGCTATCAATAACACTGGGGGGTCTCACAGCAATCCCTGAGTCTTCGGAGAAAGGCGGCATATAAATTGAACTTATAAATAAATAAATAATCAAACAAAGAAATTACAATCAAATCAATAAAAGATAAAAGATGGGAAGGTCAGTGAAAGAAGGCTCTTGCTCTCCATCACCATGTTTGTTTGCTTCAGCCTGTGGAAACCTGAAAATCCACTAATGTGAAATCAGATTTGCGTATTTGAATGAATATATATGTATCCCCCCCCAAGACCTATCCCATCCTTAAACGTGAGGATACTCAATAAAGGGGGCTTCAGATCAATATCTGATTAGAATCAATTGACTGCTAGGCTTAGTCAAGGGAATGCCTGCCAACCTGCTGGGCCCTGGAAATAAATCTGCAGGTGCAGAGAAAGTCTGTGGCTCTGAGACTGAGGGACTCAGGCTTTGCTTCCTTTCCGCAGGTGGGGCTGGGGGCGGCCATTACAGAGGAGCTGTGCTTTCTTTAGTCTAATCCCCAGCAAAGGTTGTTGGGATTCCTGAGTTTAAGGCCTCCAGATGTTGCCGCTGCACAGGCCAGGCTAAGGCTGGGATCCTGTGGCCTGAGACTGTTGCTTGCACCCAGGTGAGGAAGGTGATTGGCCCCTGTGCTCTACAGGCCAGCAGAGTTGAGAGTGGACGGAGTAGATGGACCTTGCAGGACTTCTCCTGCTTCCTTCCTGGGGTGAGGAGAGGGGAGAGGCTGTTTGCTTCTCGCCCAGGTTTCCCTCTGCCTCTGTCCTGGTGGTGCCCTTGGTAGCTCTGCAGCTTCTTGGATGGAAAAGGATTGAATCTCTTCTAAAAGGCAATTGAGCACTAATCTGCCTTATGTGATCTTTTGGAGAATGCTGCAGGAGGTTAATGAAAATTATTCACTTCCTGTGTTAATTTTGATTATTGTGACCGGCCTATGAGTGTGTCCGTTTCCTGGGAAGTCATTCTGAGGATAATGGATAAAAAGTGAATACTCCTTTATGTTAAACTGGACTCCTGGTGACTTCATGAAAATGGCCAGGTGCTTCCTTGGCAGTGATATGGAAGGGTCTTGCCATTGACGTCTTTGGGGAAATTTTTCATCAACTTTCAGGCTACAGCCCTACAATCTCTTGCTGGGCACCCTCTGACACTAAGCCAGTGGGTGTGGCTTCCAGGTAAGAGTGTTTCCTGGATCTGCAAAGGCATGTGATGCACGAGACGCATCTCTACAATATTTATATATATATTTATAATATAAATCTCTGGATCGAGATATCCATGAAATTCTGAGCATTTGGGAAAGAAACTAAGTAGAACTTGTAGTAATGTCGGGGGAGGGAGCAGGGCAGGACAGGAAATGCTGTTTGTCGTGCTTAAACTGTAATGCGGTTTGCACAATTTTGGCTTGCCTGTTATGTAAATCTTGTCATGGTGGCTTATACATGGTCACCTACACTGTAGTGTATTCCACAAACTTAGCCAGTTATAGTTTGATAAATTGACCATAGTTAACCAAACTATAGCTTTCTATGAATTGACACTTAAAAGTTGTTTTTGACAGTTCTTCTCTTTAACTGAGAGGGACTATGACAGGGGTCCTCAAACTACGGGCCGCAGGCCGCATACGGCCCGCCAAAGCCATTAATTCAGCTTGCCAAGGACCCCAAGGCTGCCCCATCCACATCACCACGGCCACCTGCCGGCCCCCACCCTTCAGACGAGCGCAGGATTTACCTTCACGAGCCCCGCGGGCTGGAACTGGAATGTAAGGCCAACATTTTTGTCCTGCAGAGTGTTTTGGAGGCAGAGGAGGTGAAAAAAGGGGTGCGCTTCCAGTAGCACTTTGCAAGCCAAAAAACGGGGCACATGGAGGCCTCCCGGGGCATCACCACACCCCGTTTTTCACCTCCCCCACCTTCAGAAGATAGACACAGAGAGAGAGAGACTTGTTGATTGTAAGCTCCTTGGGGCTGAGAAGAATTGCTGCAAAACCAAATTTCCTGAAGTGGACCTCTAGACTCCTAAACAACTGAAAAAATGATCTAGTAAAAAGAAAAGTCACCCAAAAGAGCAACATGCAAACAAAAGCAAATAAAACACCCCCAGGAGCAAAAAAAAATTAAAGTTTAGTTTGTGTGCATTGTTCAATAGACTGCTAAAGTAGCCACGCCCACTTAGTCACATGACCACCTAGCTACACCCACCCAGCCGGTCCGGCCCTCCAACAGCCTGAGGGACCGTGAATTGGCCCCCTATTTAAAAAGTTTGAGGACCCCTGGACTATGGGGCTGCATGCGTTAGGGTTAGGCTAATGTTAGGGTTTCTGCCACATGAAACAAGAATTTGAAATGTGACCCATATCTGCCTGGCCATGAATCCGTAGTTGCCGAAAGTAACCTACCAAGTATACTAACCTGAAGATCTTTCTATTGATGAAGTTTATTAGAATATAAGTATATTTATTTAAAAGTTTTATATGGCTGCTCATGTGACTTATAACAACTGTAAAAACAATAAATAACAATTATAAAAACAATAAAGTTAAAAATGGAGCAGTTTGATGCTTTAGCCAGTTCCAGCCTGGTGACAAAAGAATCGGGTCCCTGAGTTCCAGTCCCATCCTAGGCAGGAAAGCCATCTAGGTGAGTTTAGGACAGTCACTCTCTCTCAGCCCAGTCCACCTCACAGGGGTGTTGTTGTGGGGAAAATAGGAGGAAGAAGAAGGTGTGTTGAATATGTTCGCCACACTGAGTTATTTATAAAAATAATAAAGGTGAGATACAAATAAATAAATAAATAAATAAAATGAAGAGTCTTGCCTTGGACATTAATTTGGGCCAGTCATTCTCTCTCAGTTCTTGGAAGGAAGCAATGCAAACCATTTCTGAAAAACCTTGCCAAAAAGACTGCAGGGACTGGTCCAGGCGGTTGCCAGGATTCAAAAAGTAACTTGAAGTCACACAAAAGTTAAAGATGTTTAAAATTAAAAATGGTTAGCAAGGGGACGTAGCAGCTGTTTTATCTATTGGGTTGAGGTGTAGAGCCCACACTGGGGAGTCAATCAGAATGCAGGGATGTGACCACGAAGGAGACTGATTGAGCAAATCTTGTCCTATTTTTCAAGTATGTTGGATGGAGAAAAGTGGCATCTCTCATTCTGGATCCATGGATTTTAGGCACATCCATGCATGTGCAGGAACATTTCCACTCGTCAGGAACTGTGTAGAAAGAGCCCCAAGGTCAGCAGACTAAACCAGAGGTCCAAAGTCGTTGTTCCTAGCCACGATGTGTTTCTCCTCCACATTCTCAAAACCTGGAAACGCTTCCTACCCAAGGTTTCAGCACTAAAGGTGAAGGTGCACGGATGCTCTTTCAAGTTAATAGAAAGCAAATATCTGGTGTTGAATTCCATGACAGGTGAATTTCAGTTGATTTGCAGTGAACTTTTCACAGTTATCTGTGAACCTGTCATCTCTGGCTGGGAGGGAGAACGGAGTCGCGGCTCTCTTGTTCCTCTCAACCTCCCTTCGAAGCTTCTATTCTGCTGTGGGAATGCAAA